CTCACCTCTTGCTCTTACAACCCTGGCTTAACAATGATAAACTGATTGGGGGTCTTGTTCTGCCATTCCTGAAACCAAGGAGTTCACAAGGGCCAGCAAACACATCCTGGCTCTTCTCCACCATCTCTCAAACAATACGGTTGTGGATGTATTTGAATGGAGTGTCACTCTGCTCTAAATTCATCATAAGGTGTCTTGGACAACTCACCAGGAAAAAAAAACTAGGTTATAAATTAAATTTGTGCAGCTGAGCATGCCTAATCTGAAATTCTTCGTATTAAAAGATTTTGGAATATTGGGGATATATACATAGTGAGACATCTTGGAGATAGGACCCAAGTCTAAATACAAACACGTTATTATTATTATTATTATTAAAGTTTGGGAATATTAGCATGTACATAATGAGATGTCTTGGAGATGGGACCCAATACTGAATACAAAAACATTATTATCATTATTACTATTAAGATTTTTGGAATATTGGCATGTACACAGCGAGATGTCTTGGAGATGGGACCCAAGTCTAAATAAAATTATTATTATTATTATTATTATTATTATTATTATTATTATTATTAGATTTTGAAATATTGGTATACATATAGTGAGATATCTTGGTGATGGAACCCAAGTATGAATAAAATAATAATAATAATAATAATAACAACAACAACAACAACAACAACAACAACAACAGCCGGCAGAGTGTCTGCTGTGGACTCCTCTTGCTGTGTTTCAAATAATAATAATAATGTTTTATTACTATGTGTATTATTACGTTTATTTGTGCCCTGCCTTTCTCTCTGAATCAAGAACCAAAGCAACTCCTGACTTTAAAACAATACAACTTAAAACATAAATATAAATATTAAAATATTAAAATATAATTAAACACACAATTGAAAGAAGTCTATTAAAACAAATAAGTTAGAAACTGTTAAAAATGCTTTGTTCTTTGCACACACCATATACACATAGCCTGATTATAACTCCATACATGATATTTTGAATAATTTTGTGCAGGAAACAAGTTTGTGTTAATAAAACCATCAGAAAACAAAGGTGTCTCTTTCTCAACCACCCAAGTGGAGATGTCTGGATTTTGGAGGATTTCAGATAAGAAATGCTTGACCTTGAAGCATCTCTTATCTGAAAGCATATCAATCCCTTGGGTCTGTCTCAGATGGGAAACCCATTACCATCTGAGACAGACTCAATGGGTTATTATTATTATTATTATTATTATTATTATTATTATTATTATCATCTTTATTTATACCTCACCTTTTCTCTGTAAGGGACCCAAAACGGGGAGGAGGGCTTCCAAGGATGCAGAAATATGCAATTAGACACAAATCCCATGATTCCATGGCTCAATGCTATGGAATCATGGGATTTGTGAGAAGGGTGAATTATAGAATTATAGAGTTGGAAGAGACCATTTAAGCCATCTAGCACAATCTAAGCACCTCTGACAGATTCAGTCTCTATATAAAAGCTTCAAAGGAAGGAGCTTCCACCACACTCCAAGGCAGAGAGTTCCACTTCTAGACAGCTCTTACAGACTGGAAGTTCTTCCTAATGTTCAGGTGGAATCTCCTTTCCCGACATTTGAATCCATTGCTATGAGTCCTAGTCTCCAGGGCAGCAGAAAACAAGCCCGCTCCCTCTTCCTTTTGGCATCCTTCCACATATTTATACATGGTGAACATATCTTCTCTTAACCTTCACTTCTGCAGGCTAAACATGCCCAGTTCTTTAAGATGATCCTCATAAGGATTCACGGTCTCCAGACCTTTGATCATTTTAGTTGCCCTTTTTAGTTGTCCAAGATCTTACAAGAACAACTCCCATGGTCCCAGAGCATGGAGTCATTGGAGCCCAAAGTGGTGGCAAACTGAATTCAATACTATGGAATCATGGGATGTTTCAAGACTATGGAATCATGGGATTTGTGAAGAGAGGATGAAGATCATGCAAGACTACAATTCCCATGGACCCAGAGCATTACAGTCCAAAATGGTGGCAAACTAAATTCAATGCTATGGAATCATAGGATGTTTCAAGGCTATGGAATCAGGGATTTGTGAAGAGAGGATGAAGATTTTGCAAGACTACAACTCCCAGGGTCCCAGAGCATGGAGTTATTGGAGTCCAAAATGGTGGCCAACTCAATTAAATTCTAAGGCTATGGGATTTGTGACGAGAGGATGAAGATCTTATATTTATAAATAATAAATAAATAAAATCTTGCAAGACTACAATTCCCATGGTCCCAGAGCATAGAGTCATTGGTGCCCAAAGTGGTGGCAAACTGAATGCATTCAACAGTGCAGGTTTGCCCAAAGAAAGGCACAACCTAGAGCAGTGTTTCTCAACCTGGGGGTAGGGACCCCTATGGGGGTCGTGAGGGGGTGTCAGAGGGGTCACCAAAGATAATCAGAAAACACAGTATTTTCTGTTGGTCATGAGGATTCTGTGTGGGAAGTTTGGCCCAATTCTATCATGGGTGGGGTTCAGAATGCTCTTTGATTGTAGGTGAACTATAAATCCCAGAAACAACAACTCCCAAATGTCAAGGCCTATTTGCCCCAAAATCCACCAGTGTTCACATTTGGGCATATTGAGTACTTGTGCCAAATTTGGTTGAGATCCATTATTGTTTGAGTCCACAGTGCTCTCTGGATGTAGGTGAACTACAACTCCAACACTCAAGGTCAATGCCCACCAAACCCTTCCAGTATTCTCTGTTGGTCATGAGGGTTCTGTGTGCCAAGATTCATTAATTTCAATAGTTGGTGGAGTTCAAAATGCTCTCTGATTGTAGGTTAACTATAAATCCCAGCAACTACAACTCTTAAATGAAAAACTCAATCCCCCCCTCCAAACCCCATCAGTATTCAAATTTGGGTGTAACAGGTATTTGTGCCAAATTTCATCCAGTGAATGAAAATCCATCCTGCATATCAGATATTTACATTACGATTCATAACAGTAGCAAAATTTCAGTTATGAAGTAGCAACAATAATGTTATGGTTGGGGGTCACCCAGGGGAGGCTCGTCCATTACGTGAAGTAAGCGGTTGCAGAACACTTTTTTTGCCAGGGGCGCAGAGGCGCCTCTGTAAATGCCCCTCGACCGCCACTTGAGGAGCACCCCCTCAGCTCACAACAGCCCTAGCAGTCCGGGGGGAGCCTCGGCTTTCTTGCCTCGCCAGGTGATCCTCTTCCCAAAGGGGCCGGGCCCTTGAGCCTCGCCTAGCCCCTCTCGTTCCTGCTCCACGCGGCCACCGGGTACGCGAGCAGGCCGGCGCTCAATCATTCTCCGTGTTCGATCCCTTCCCCATGACCGGCTCCCTTTCCCGTTCCCCAGGCGCTCCACCTGCCGCCTCTCTTCTCCCCAATCCGCGGGTGGGCCAAGGGGTGGAGCCGCTGCTCCTGGCCCGCTTCGGGTCCAGAGGCGTGTCTGAAGACCCCAGCGTGCGCACCAAAAGTTGTCTCTTCTCCTGACTTTCTCTTCAGCCATTGGGACCAAGAGAGAGAGAGAGAGCCCCTCCAGCTGGAGGTATCTCACACCTCCGCTCCCTCCTTTGTTTTTGCGCCTACCTTCAGGAAAGGTGGGCATCTCCACCTCTCTCTCTCTTTCTCTTTCTTGGTCCCAATGGCTGAGGAGAAAGACAGGAGAAGAGGTGACTTTTGGTGCACATGCCTGGGTCTTCGGCCACGCCTCCGGACCCAAAGCGGGCCAGGGCACGCCGGGGTCTTCAGGCACGCCTCCGGACCCAAAGCGGGCCAGGCAAGGGAGCAAGTGCGGAAAGTGTAGTTACTGGGATGTATAGTTCACCTACAATCAAAGAGCATTCTGAACTCCACCAATGATGGAATTGAACCAAATATGGCACACAGAACTCTCACGACGAACAGCAAATATATATCAATGATTGGTTGGGGGGGGGGGGGCCAAAATACTGTTTGCTTACCATTGAAAATTACCTAGGGCCGCCTCTGGTGACATAGATTTTCACTTGCACCCACCTTCGATGGTGCTGCCCTATCTCCATCGACCACTGTTAAGAGCTTAGGTGTCGTCCTGGATTCGCAGCTGACAATGGAAGCTCAGGTCACTGCTGCCAGCAAACAGGCCTTTTTCCATCTACGACAAGCGAGGCAACTGGCACCCTACCTATCTGACGAGGCTCTGGCAACTGTCATCCATGCCACGGTCACGTCTAGGCTGGACTATTGCAACACCCTGTATGTTGGCCTTCCGATGTCTACGACCCGAAAGCTCCGTATTGTTCAGAATGCGGCAGCCAGGTTACTCACAAGAACGCCCATGAAATGCCATATAACACCAGTGCTGCAACATTTACATTGGCTTCCAACTGAGTACCGTGGCCTGTATAAGATGCTAGTTCTGACCTTTAAAATTCTTTACGGCCAGGGTCCATCGTACCTTAGGGACCGCCTCTCCTTCTCCCATCATCGGAGGTCGCAACGACCAGCCCAACCTGACTTACTCCATATACCGGGTCCTAGAGAAGTGCACTTGGAAAGGACCAGACGCAGGGCTTTTTCTATTTCTGCCCCTGCCTTATGGAATTCCTTGCCGCCCTACATGAGAGCCATGCGTGACTTAGGGCCTTTTACTCTCGCACTTAAGACCTGGCTTTTTACTAGAGCATTCGATCTCTGTTGATTTTTAATTTTTGTATGTATGTATTTTATCTTTTGTAATTTAGCTGTAAATCGCCTGGAGCATTCTCGGATGGAGGGCAATTAATAAGTTATTAAATGATGATGATGATGATGATTAAGGGGTCCCAGCATTAGGAAGGTTGAGAAACACTAACCTAGAGAGTGGGAGAGGGGGCGTGGTCTAACTAACCCCTAGCCACGCCCCTGGGAGTGGGCGGGGTCTCTTCATGGCCCCGCCTCCTCCCACACACTCACACTCACACACAGAGGGGAGGGGGAGGTTTTTTTCTGCGTCTCACCAGGGAAGCCCTCCGCCTCGCCGTCCTCGTCGCCTTCGCCGCTCTCGGAGTCGGTCTGCATGGGCTCCTCGGCGAAGTTGACCCCGCCGCGGGGCGCCTGCTTTCCCCTCGGGGTCCCCGGCGAGGCGGCATGGAGCCGGCCGGCGTCCCCTCCCTCCTCCTCCTCTTCCTCCTCCTCGGCCTTGAGGCGCCCGAAGTACTGGAGGGCGAAGTCCAGCAGGTCCCCCGGCTGGCTCCTCAGCACCTCCACGGTGAAGCCTTGCAGCAGCTCCGTCAGCCCCTCCGGGACGGAGATGCTCATGCCGGGCGCTGCGAAGGGGCCGCTCCGCGAGTCAAGCGTCAAGGAAGCATGAAGGAGCCACTGCGGTGGCCGGACCCGCTCCCGCCGCTGCTTCCCTCAGGCGCCCTCGAGGAAGAAGGAGCCTCGCGCTGGCTCGCTCGGTCTCTCCCGCACGCGCGCGCTCCTTCTCTCTCTCATACACACACACACACTCCCGGCTCCGCGCGCCTCGAAAGCCTCCCGCGCGCGCGCCTGCGCACGTGACCCGCGGAACCATGGCAACCCCCCGCCGCGGCCAAGGAAAGGAGAGGGAGAGCGCGCGCGCGAGAGAGAGGGAGGCTAGGCTTTCACCAGAGCGAGGAGAGAGGGGCCACGCGCGAGAGAGACAACCAAGTGAAAGCCTATTCGCACTATTATATCGCATTATAAGTGCTGCTGTTCCGCTTCCACTGACATGGTGGCTCCCTATGGAAACCTGATATTCAGGGAGAAGTACAACAGGCCCTTGGAACCCTTCCACGCAGACATATAACCAGTTCAATGTGGATTTTATACAGCTGTGTGGAAGGGGCCTAAATTTCTTCAGTTGGGGGGCCCTCCCCCCCAGCACCACCTGCCACTCTGGGCCAGAGTAAAAGGGGGGGGGGGCAGGGGACAGTTCCACCTTGTGTCCCAATAATATAATCTATATAAATAAAAATGTAATGTTCGTTCGTGCTACCATCAGAACTCAAAAACCACTGGGGGAATTGATGCCAAATTTGGACACAAGACACCTAGCAGTCCAATTTATGTTCTCCACTAAAAAAAAAATTGATTTTGTCATTTGGGAATTGTCGTTGCTGAGATTTGTAGTTTACCTACAATCAAAGAGCATTCTGAACTCCACCAATGATGGAATTGGGCCAAACTTGACCTTGAGTTTGGGAATTATAGTTCACCCACATCCAGAGAGCACTGTGAACTCAAACAATGATGGATCTGGACCAAACTTGGCACGAATATTCAATATGCCCAACTAGGAACACAGATGGAACTTGGGGGAAATAGACCTTGACATTTGGGATTTGTAGTCACTAGGATTCACAGTTCACCTACAATCAAAGAGCATTCTGAACCCCACGAACGACAGAATTGGGGCAAACTTCCCACACAGAACCCCCATGACCAACAGAAAATACTTGAGCTCATCCAATCCAACTCCCTTCACCAGGGCAAGAAAACGTAATCAAAGCCCTCCTAACAAAGAGCCTTCCAGCCATAGATAGATAGATAGATAGATAGATAGATAGATAGATAGATAGATAAGGAGTTGTAGTTGCTGGGATTTATAGTTCACCTACGATCAAATAGTACGATAGAATTGAACCAACCGGGGTATACAGGACTCCCATGACCAAGAGAAAACACTAGAAGGCTTTGGTGAGCATTGACCTTGAGTTTGGGAGTTGTAGTTTACCTGCATCCAGAGACTACCATGGACTCAAACAATGATGGATCTGGACCAAACTTGGCGCCCATATTCCATATGCCCAAATATGAACACAGATGGGGTTTGGGGAAAATAGATCTTGACATTTGGGAGTTGTAGTTATTGGGATTTATAGTTCACCTACAATCAAAGAGCATTCTGAATCCCACAAACGACAGAATTGGGGTAAATTCCCCACACAGAACCACCATGACCAACAGAAAATAGTTAAGGCCATCCAATCCAACTCCCTTCACCGGGGCAAGAAAATGTAATCAGAGCCCTCCTGAGAAAGAGCCATCCAGCCATAGATATAGATAGGTATGATTCACACATACACACAGATATAGCATCATAGATTTGAAAGGGACCCCTAAAGAAGGACAATTATATGTTGCATGTTCCAGAGTAGGCAAACCAGACACTCTCCACATCAACACTGACAAAGAAACAACAAGAAATACTGTTTACCCACAAGCATAAAGAAATTACATACATTAGAAACCAACATTTTCTCATTACTTTATTTTCTAGATCAACAGACTGGGCCACAGCAATGCATGGCAGGGGACAGCTAGTATAATATAATGTATTGTCGAAGGCTTTCATGGCCGGAATCACTGGGTTGTTGTAGTTGTTGTTGTAGGGTTTTTTGGGGGCTATATGGCCATGTTCTAGAGGCATTCTCTCCTGAAGTTTCGCCTGCATCTATGGCAAGCATCCTCAGAGGTAGTGAGGATGCTTGCCATAGATGCAGGTGAAATCCAGGTACGCTACATCCACGGCATTCCCCGCATCTACCCAGCTTGTAACTCTATCGAAAAAAGAAATCAGATTAGTCTGGCATGACTTGTTTTTGATAAATCCATGTTGACTATTAGCCATGGCCACATTTGTTTCTAAGTGTTTGCAGACCACTTCCTTAACAATTTTTTCCAGAATCTTGCCTGGTATTGACGTGAGGCTGACCGGACAGTAATTGTTTGGGTCATCCTTTTTTCCCTTCTTGAAGATTGGGACCACATTGGCCCTCCTCCAATCCTCTGGATAGGAGTAAAAGGAGGTTGCTTGAAGTTTTCCCCAAACTGACACCTGCAGTTTTGGCCTAATTGCTGTGAACTGAGTTGATAGGAACATTCCCTAGTGAGGGGGCAGGAGGCCCAAGCGATTGCCTAGTTCTGCATGGGGTGGAAGGGAGGGGTGTTTGGGACTGTCTGGGGAAGGGAAGGGGATGTCTGTCACTGGCTAATTAACTCTCTTGCACTCACTGGTTGGAACAAATAGTGCAAAGTACAAACAGTTCCTCTTCGTTTCAAAAGCTGGCAGCATCGAGCTTCATTCTACAGCCGGTAAGCACCAAACCTGCATGAAAGGTTGTTCGGTGTCATTATTTTTAATTCACTGGGTGGCATACATCACCAATCATTCAAGAAACGCTCTGCATTTTTGTGCATGTGTATGTTTGTGTATATCACACACAGGAAGGTTGTGTCATTTCTTCATATATTGTTTTGTTACAGGAATGGATCCTGCATGCAGTCAAGAATCAATCATTAGAGTATAGAATATAGAAATGTTGACCATTTCCACTACCTTGGCAGCCACCTCTCCACAAAAGTCAACATTGACACTAAAATACAACACTGCCTAAGCTCTGCGAGTGCAGCATTTCTCCGAATGAAGCAGAGAGTGTTTGAGGACTGGGACAGCTGTAGGGATACCAAGGTGCTTGTTTATAAAGCTATTGTACTCCCAATCCTGCTATATGCCTGCGAGACGTGGACTATCCTCTTGTCTTCCCAAGAGATTTGCAGGATTTTGGGCACAGAAAAACATAACTTTTTTACCTGTCTGGCCCGCCCTTGTATCCTATTACCGTACCTCCTCCTCTGCCTCTCAGATCTCGCTCCTGAAGAATTCAGTGAAGAGGTGCAGGTGCCCATGTGCGAGATCTGAGAGGCAGAGGAGGTACAGTAATAGGAAAATAACCATATTGAAATCAAATCTGATGCTTTTAAAATGTTTATTTGGTGTGTGTTGGAAGAGGGGTAGTCTTATATCCCAAACTCTATATTTAACTGGAAAAGTTGGGGGTCATCTTATACGCCCAGTTGTCTTATATGCCAGAAAATACGGTAAATAAAAGGGATACGACTTCAGCTGCAGACATCTCTTTCTTTTGGCTATCTTTGTTTTCTGTGTTTCAAAGAAAAGACAGTTTTGTCAACTGAATAATGTTATCCATTTCTGGTGGGGCACTTGTTTTTCTGTTGATTAATTAAAACGTATCAAAATATAGTTCAAGTTGTAATTAACTGCATGTCTACTTTGTAATCCCTCTGTTGGAAAATTATCAAAATGTCAGTATAGGTAGTTCATTCTTGTAAGGAAAGATACTGAAAGAAAGTATGGTACCTTCCATATTATCTCTCTCTTTCCCCATGTTAGAAGGAAAGGTTGTGCTTAATATTCTGTTTTTCACAACTTGTTAGGTATTAGAATGTATTAAAATGGCCAGCTACAACTTGGGACACCTATGATGAAACCGTCCTTAAACTGCAAGTCCCAGGATTCCATGTGATGTTGCTATGGCAGTTCGAGTAGAACATAGTGCTATAATTATGTAGGGTGGATAGGCCTCTGGTGATGGGAGAAAAGTGTTTTTGCCAATAGTGCTGAAATTATTGAGGAAATAAGTAAGCCTGGTCTTGTTACAGTTTCTGTTGGCTCAGATAACTGCTCTTTTAGGATTATAGGTTAGAAAAGGTCTCATAGCCAACTGTCTGTTCAATGCAGGAATAATGCAAGTATAACATTCCTAATATTGCAATTAAAGTATTCCTTGTAATCACCACCCATTCTGTCTACTGCTCTCTAAAGCAGGAATGGCCAACTGTAATTTTCCTGGCTTTGCAGAACTTTCAGCAGCTCCTGCATAGCTTGTGATGAGGAATGCTAGGAGTTGCTGCTCAAAAACACTTTGAAGACCTCTGCTATTCAACTTTGCACTGAAATGTTAGACGGCAAGTTACTTACTTACTTAGGCGATCCCCTAGTTGTCCGAATAGGATTGTCTTCCAAGATAAGTGTACTGGCGGTGGGTCTGTAGGTGACAGTGGAGCCCTATTCTTGACCTGCATGTTCTCCTGCAGTGAGGGCATTTGTTTCCAAGTGGAAGGCGATTTGAGGCACCTTCCTCTTGGTACGTTTCTCTTTTTCGCCCTCCATTCGTGCCTCTTCAAATTCTACAGTACTGTTGGTCACAGCTAACCTCCAGCTGGAGCGCTCAAGGTCTAGGGCTTCCCAGTTCTCAGTGTCTATGCCAGAGTTTTTAAGGTTCACTTTGAGCCCATCTTTGAATCTCTTTTCAAGAACAGAATATTCCATTTTCTGTTCTTGAGTTCGGAGTATAATAACTGCTTTGGGAGACGGTGGTCGGGCATCTGGACAACACGGCCGGTCCAGTGGAGTTGATAGCAGAAGACCATCACTTCAATGCTGGGGTCTTTGCTTCTTCCAGCACGCTGACATTTGTCCACTTGTCTTCCCAAGAGATTTGCAGGATTTTTCTGGAGGCAACGGTAATGGAATCATTCCAGGAGTTGCATGTGATGTCTGTAGACAGTCCACGTCTCGCAGGTGTATAGCAGGGTTGGGAGGACAATAGCTTTATAAAGAAGCACCTTGGTATCCCTATGGATGCCCTCGTCCTCATACACTCTCTGCTTCATTCGGAAAAATGCTGCACTCGCAGAGCTCAGGCGGT